CTCACCTGCTGCCTACTCCTGCAGTAGCTCTACTTCTCCACCACTCACCTCCCCCTTTATACCCACCTGTCTGGGCGGAGCCAAAGGGAAACCCCAGGGCCAAGCTGAGCAGCAGCAGGGGACAGGAGGTCTGAGAGCCCCACCCCCACCCCCACCCTTCTAGGCTCTGCTCCCAGCCCAGCAGCTCCCCCAGGGTTAATGGGTCCCTCCTGCAGCAGGTGGGCTGGGGAAGGATTGTGTTTGGGAGCCAGGCTGGTGGGTGGGGGAGCCCCCAGCACCTCACAATTGGTTCTCATGGCCCAGTTTGTTCTTAGCATCTCCAGCAGCACCAGGAAAAGCCTGGTTCCCCATTGCTCCCTCCAGCCCTCTGAGCCAGCCAGTGCCCCGCAGTGGGGCAGGATCAGGCCAGCAGCCCCTAGAGGGGCGGGGCCTGCATTCCACCCTGAGCAGACACTCTGGTACCAGCCTGTTTGCCCTTGGCCTTGGTGGGGAAGCTTGGATCCACCTAAGCCAGGCTGCTGTGTTGAGGTCTTGGAAACTCATCACACATCCCAGCAGAGGTGCAGACCCGAAGTTGGTGGCAGAACTCAGCACTGGGCTCTCACTGCCCCTGGCAGGGGGAGGGGGTGGGAGTTGGAACCTACGAGCCCCAGGTTTGTCCCGGCTCTCTGAGGGTGCAGCATTGGAGGAAGGGGCCCGAGGAGCCTGGTCTGAGCACATCCCTCTTAAAGGAGAGACTGAGACATGCTGGGCAGCAGCCTCCACCAGGCAGTGGTAGGCCCTGGCTACCCAAGGGGCAGGGCCTTGTCCAGTGACTGGGGTGCAATGCACCTGGCCAGGTGAGCTGCTGGCCTTACGCACAGCCCAGGGCTCCAGGCTCCCAGAAGAGAGCAGCTTCCCCTAGAACCCTTCTAGCTTGAGCAGCACAAGTACCCCCTCTGCTGCACTGCCCCCACCATTGCAGCCCAGCACCTCCCTCTCAGGATCCCTATCCCCTCCCTGCACCCCAGCACCCCCTCCTGAGCCCCCACCTCCTCCCTGCAGCCCAGCACCCCCAGCTGAGCCCCCACCTCCTCCCTGCAGCCCAGAGCCCCCTCCCCAGCACCCGCCAGGCACCACAGCCCCCAGCTCTACCAGCCCCCCCCATTTCCAGGCAGCACAGAGTCCAGGCCACACGGTGGGTTCAGGAAGTGACAATATTTTATTAGTGGGGGCGGCAGCCGGGGCGAACCCCTCCCCAGGCCCAGCGGTAACGTTCCGCCCTGGAGCCCGGGCCCGGCCAGAGCCCCTGGGGCTCTGCAGTCAGCGCAGGTTGGACACACCCGGGGGGGCAGGTGTGTTGGGGGAACCACCCCCCCCTTCTCTGATCTCGCACGTGCAAGTCGGGGCTAACGGGGGGGGGGAGCGGGTTCTGCCTCCCTGGCCATTGGATTGGCCCCCGCCTGAAGCTGCTCACGTGACTGCAAAGGCTGATGGGCAGCTCCAGCTGATCGCATCCCCCGGGAGATAAAATGGTATCTCTCCCATGCAACCCCCTATTTCAGGAGGTAAGGTGGTATTTCCCTGGTGCATTCCCCCCCGCTGCAGGGCGAAAGGTAGTGTGGCCCAAAGGCACCTTTCTGGGTGGAGAGGGCATTGTCCCTACGGATGGTAAAATGGTAGATCCCGATTGTATCAATACACAGGTGCTATGGTATATCCCGACTCCCACTCATGCGGAGGTGGTACATCCCACCAGCCCGGGACAGCGAACGGACTGGTACGTACCGGAACCGCCTGGGGCCCAACCACAAACCCCAGCGCTCTATGCCCCCCTCTCGTAGGGAGTAAGATGGTATGTCCCAAATACACCCCCCCAACTGGCGGGAACAAGATAGTATATCCCAAGTACCCCCGCTACAGGGAGTATTATGGTCTATCCCAATTATACCCCCACCCCGCTGCAGGGGGTAAGATGGTACATCCCGTTTCAGATTTTCTAGTGGGGCGGGGGCCACGCGCGCTCTATGCCCCCCTCTCGTAGGGAGTAAGATGGTATGTCCCAAATACACCCCCCCAACTGGCGGGAACAAGATAGTATATCCCAAGTACCCCCGCTACAGGGAGTATTATGGTCTATCCCAATTATACCCCCACCCCGCTGCAGGGGGTAAGATGGTACATCCCGTTTCAGATTTTCTAGTGGGGCGGGGGCCACGCGTGTCAAGGGGAGCAAGCGTTGTTGGCTCTAGAAAGCCCCACG